TATATATATATATATATATATATATATATATATATATATATATATATATTCACGTTATTGAGAAATACGGAAATAATAAGCGAAATGAAGGAATATAATAGGAATACAAACCTGTAATTTAGTGAGGTTTGTCTCATAATTATGGCACATTTCACAAGGTAACGTGACGGCGCTAGGTGAGAGCAAAGACGAAGCGGTGTTGTGCACTGGACTGCCATCTTCATTCAACGTTTCATCGCAATCAGCTTTCTTAAACACCAAATTTTTTCGTATGAATATTCCATATATTCCGTCCCCCTACCCAAATTCCAACAATTCGATGCAATAACAATAGCGAAACATCACAAATTTGAATCGAAAGTGAAATAAAAGCTCACGGAATCATCTCAAAATGAATACTAAAAATTACCGTTTCCTCTAGATTTGTTTTTGTGTCCACAACAGAAGAACTATTATTGTTATCGCCATTAGTTGCGATCGAGGAGGGCGTTGAATGTATAGCGGTGGCCTCGTCGTTGGCTGCTTCCATAGGAAATAACTGAATTCACAACTCTTTTGCCAAATAACTCAGCAGATCAAATAATCCATAAAATTACTCGATTTTACAGATAGATCCAATTTATTTCGTTGCTCCTAAAATTTCTAAAATGAACACCAAAATTCTTCGTTACTATTGTAAACTGGAAAGCCAAAAAGATAACAAATAGAAACGAAGAAAAACTTTTAAAAAATTTGACTTTAGATTAAATGAGATAATACATTATAATCGATAAAGTTATCATCACTAAAGCTAGAGTAAACCAGACATTTGGATTGCAAAATGTGGAATGTAAAAATTCTAACTGAAATAATAGGAAGTCTTCGCTTTTAGCATATATTTTAATTGAGAGAATGAATCGAAAACATTAACAGAGGGATTTCCCCGGTGTTATTCACCCAAAAATTTCGACTCATTGTCCCGGAATCGCTAATCCTACTCGAATGAAAAATCCCTCTAGAAATGTGTATCAACCTCGCTTTCCTCAAAACCTCGGAATTCAATAATGATTCGTAATTTTTTGAATAATTCCAAAGAAAACAGAAAATTCCGTTTATAACTGTGACATTTTTTCCATCCAACACACTCATACGTTGGTAATCAAATCATACAGAGACATTGTGCCAAGGAAGTCGGTTTCCTTTGAGTTTTCTTTTTTTCGTTATAAAGCTTTCCACGAAAAAAAANAGTTGCAATGAGAATTTGAATCAGTCTCGATTCGATTAATTAGCTAATGGAAGCGGAAGCAGTGTTAGTCAATTAGCTGAGTGAAATGTTCAAAGCTTGTTTGCTTCCTTCATACTATTTTTGTTACTTTTCAAGCATCGGGACTTCAAACCCAATTGGTCATTCGTTCGCTGTCATTGTGTAAATTCGGTTGTAAATTACGGGAAATTCAGAAGAAGATTGCCCGAATTGATCAACAGCATTTTTGAGGATGAACAACCAAACTGGATTGCCGAACATGACAGCCGTGAAATTGGCGAATTTTGGGGGCGCTGCCGAACGGAAAAGGCCATATCCCGAAAATTCGCCGAGAACGCCGCTGGAAAAACGCAAAAGTGATGGTGGAACAAATGGAGATAATCACGGAAGTGGACTGTGCTTGACAGTGAATAAAGAAATACCTGTGATTGAATTATCCGATGATGAAGATGATACTCATAATCAGCAAAATAATGCCGAACGACAAACTGTTAAGCAAGAAAAAATCCCGATGGAAACGGTAATATATTCTTGAAAATAAAAAAATACACCTATTTCAAAGGGAACTTCCTAATTCACTGAAATTGTTGTGAACGATTTCTAAAACAATCATTCTATCTCACCCAGTGAAGCATCAAATTCTCTTTCATTTTTTCTAATTCGTTACCGAATTTTCGCGTTCGTCTATAAAGATATTTTAATGATTTTTCGAAAATTTTCAAATTTCCCATCGTTTTTTCCAAAATCTTTTCATAATTTTCTAGATGAATACTTTCAGCTACCAAACGGAAAGCCAGCTGAACCAAGTGGTCCTAGTGAAATTAAAAAAATAAATGATCCGGATGGAAAAAGTGGTATTATAAACGGAAATGAGGCAGCGGATGCAGAGAATGATCAGAAGTCAACGTGTTCTTCTGAGGATATTGTCATTTTGAGTGATACTATGGATCTGTCCGCGATGGACTGCGGTTCGAAAATTAAGTGAGTTTTATTATTGTTATTATTATTGTTGTTTTTATTTTTTATTATTATTGTCGTTATTATGATAAATTTGAAAATGTCAGGTATGAGCGACGAATAAAGCATGTTTATGCGGTTTGTCGACAGTCTCGGAATGGTGAGCAGATTTGCGATTTAGAGTCGATTGATGACAGTGATGCTGTGGTTCGTGTTTAATTGTATTTTATTTGTAATATTAATGGGATTATAATATTGTATTCTAGCGAATATAGCTGTGTTTATAATATGAATTATATTTTAGCGAATGGTTTTTGATGAGGAACGAATCTCACAAGCTTTAGTGGCGTATCATGTCGAGAAGAAGACTGTACCCCAGGCTGCTGCCTCTTTGAAAATATCGAATTTTGAGTTAATTGTATACCTGTTGGATCATATTTGGCATGGTATTTATTTTTGTTATTATCAGTTTGTTTGTTATTATCAATGATTAATAGTAATGGTTTATGATAATGTTTGTTGAGAACGTGATCGAACTGTGGAAGGGTACAGTTTGGTGGGTGTAGCATCGTTCATTCGAATCGAGCGAGCTGCGATACAGTTCATCAACTCGTTGCTGGTGAGGCCTGAGGAAATGACTCCTGCACAGTTTATAGCCGTGGGTTCTTATTATTTTTATCGAATGTGTTATCATCTTGATTATATCAGCATTCGCTTGCAGAGGACATTACTCGAACCAGTTGAACTGATTTTCATAATGACCGTTTTATTGGCCAGGATGTACAGGTGGAGTGTGGCGGACGATTTGGAGAATAATTGGAATTTGGTATTTGTTATTATTATTATATATCAATTTTGTTAAAATATTTGTGGTATGAAAACGAAATCAATTCAGGAAAATCGAGCCTATATCGCATACGACTACAGATGTAACGAACATATGTGGCGAGATTGATAAGAGTACGAAGGCAATGCACATGGTATGTGTTAAGTGTTGTTTTGATAGAATTTGTCACATTGCAGTCTTTTGTTTCAAATCACCCCGCCATACACCTTTGCAATTCCAGCTTCAGCTCTAACTTTTTGGTGCAACATTTGTAGTAAATTCGATTGATTGAAAAGTTTCAAGTAGAAAATTCGATTGATTCGAATATTGATTCAAGCAAGAAGTTTTGAAGGAGTGTTTACCCTCATCGAAAGTAATACCAAAACCATCGATACTGCCAGCGATGTGGTCGAAACGTGCCACTCGACTCGAACAAAAGGCCCTTAATGCATCTGCTGATAAACCGTCATCGAATGTGAGCAGTATTGAACCGAAGAGCAGTATTATTAATAATAATGTGAATAACGTCTATAATCATACTATCAGCAGTCATAATGTTGATGAGAATAATTCGAATAATAATAAAAATAATTCAACTGAGAGTGATTTATCGAAGAATTACAATGAAAGATGTCAGCAACCCCTCTCGGAGATACCCAGATTGGTATGGTATATTTTAATTTCTTATGGTTCCATTTCTTTTTTTCGATTGGTTTTGGCTGATTTTATGATGATAGTTGGTGAATATGGTGATATTGAAAACATTATGATAATAACCGTAATTTATCACTATGATAATAATAGTAATATTGATAACATTGTTATAATAAAGTACTCAGAGAAAAGAACAGGCGATAACAATTGAATATAAGTGGCAATATTAATAGTGATGCATAATATTCAGGTATCTGGAGGCGAAGATATCAGTGTGGTTGAAACGCGTCTGAGTGAATTCTCAAGACCTGGTTTTGTGCTGATGGAGGACCCGGTGAATTTAGATGATATTCCCGAAGGGGCAGTATGCTTGGGCAGACAGAAGTGTGGCCTGAACTTCATTAGATGTACCATTATCAGGAGAGTGAGTTGTTGTAATTTTATTTTTACTCATAAATAAGAATAACTGTTATGATAGTAGTGTTCATTCAGCTAACAGCACGTGAATATTACGCGAGATTCACGGATGGAGTTGAAGAGTCAGTGGATATATCGCGTATCGCGAAGCATGTGCCTGGTTGGCTGAGGATTTGGGAGGGGGTGCGGGTGTGTGCCTTATATGAACCGAAGTTAGACTTTTCATTTTTTGAAGTTTTATATAATTTTCATTTTTAGTTTTTGAAGTGTAAACTTCTTGTCGCAGTTTCATTCCAAAAGGTTCAGTTTTATTCATTTTATTTGTGTGTATTTTTTGGACTTTGTTTCATTGTAGCAAAAATATTTGGAGAAACTGATTGGATGTGGTAACGATGATAATATGAGTGGTAAGGTTGAAGAAATGATTTTAGATTGACGCGCGATCCCGTCCTGAAGGCATTCTATTCGGGAATTGTTGCAGTTGGTTTGCATGGGTTCACGAATAATGAGATGCTGGTGCATATTTTTGTTGTTATTGTTGTTTTGTGATTGAGATTATTTAGTAATTATTTATGTTGTTTTTTATTTTTGTGTAATTAAGATAAGTGATGATATAGTTGTCTTTTGAAGGTATTTTTCGATAACGGGTTGGATGCGATGGTGAACGCGAGATCGGTTTGTATTCTAGCCGAGCAGCAGTATGTGACTCGAGACGATGGAAAGAAGGTTATTACTGCTGGTTTTGTTTTGGTTATTACTGTTAGGTGTATTATTATGTATGTTATTGTTATTATTATTGTTGTGAAATGAGGTGATTTGAGGTGATCGATCGACGTAAGAATTATGTGTTAATGCCGAAAAAGAGGCAAATGTTCGTGAAACACTATCTGAAGAAATATCCCGATTGGCCGTTGGTACCAATGAAACGACGTGAAAATACACAACGTGTTAATGTGAGTGACTTTTTCATTTCGTTTTTGAATTCGTTTGAAATAAAATAAAATTCTGAAATTTCAGGTGACCTTAAATGATGTGCCGTATTCAGCGTTTGTTTTGCAAACCGAAAGGCAGTTTGCCCTGTTGAGATTCCCACCGAAGAAGAGGGTTCCCGGGGCAGATTGTGTGCTGGTTGGATGCAAGAAGCATGAACACATAGACGAGTGGGTGTATCGAGGATCAGACAGACTGGACACCATTCGTCAGACCATTGAGGTGTGTCGACTTTGGGACCTTTCCTGATTTTTTGTGTCATTTTTTCACATTTTGGGATATAGTTTCCGCGGAGTTTTTCGATGCTTGATTCCAGTTCTGTGGAAATTGAGGTAAATGTGAAATGGAGATATTGGAAGGATTATTACTGTTATTAATTATTAATAAAATAATTAAAAAAGCAGATTCGTGAGAGAGAAGAACGTCAACAGCAAAAGAGTGTCTCATTGAATATGGTTCAATCGAGAAGAGAGGCGCGTTTAATGAATAATTTCGAGTATGCTATACCTTTGGATAAGGGAAGCAGTTTGAATTTGAGTGAAACGAGGTGAGTTCTTTGTTTTTGTTTGTTGTTGTTCGTCTTAATGAAGCAGTGTTTATAGGAGTGATCCAGATTTGAGCGCTAGAGGGCGAGCGCTTTTTAATTTGACTGAAGAAACTGAGAATGGTAGCGGTCAAACAATGGTTACTTTATTATTATTATTGGTATTATCATTATTAGTAAATCAGTATCGATTTAATCTTGTCATTGAGTAATATATTGTTATCAATGCTATCAATATCATATTGTAGTTGTTATCAGTGAAAGGTAGTATTCACATGAAAACGAATTGAATTGCAGAAGAATTTATTGTGGCATCCAATAAACGAGTGGAAATATCTGCGAAAGAGGGTACATGACACGTGCAGTGTTGATTGCTTGCAAGAGCAGGAGACAGACCCGACGAATCTGACTTTTAAGGCTTGTTCGCCGTATATGATTCCGTTGATGAGTGGTTGGAAGAGGCAGGTGGGGCGTTATTGCAGATTATTTTATCATTTATTTGTTTGTTTGCTTAATTTAATGAGATCGAGTGGAATTTCAGTGTGTGCACAAATCGGCATCAAAGAAGTTAAGTAAAGGTGATCGATTGACCATAGTCAGATACGAAACACCGTGTGGTATTGCCATGTACGAAATGGCGCAAATCGCTGAATATCTGAAGGTTTCCCTTTGATATCTTCCATTTTCTGGTTGAGTACTTACAATAATATTAATAATAATTTTAAAATTTAAAATTATAATTTAGGTGACGTGCAGTCATTTGACGGTGGATTTGTTCACGTTCAACAGTCATATTCGACCGAATGTGGTGTACAAGTCACCAATAGAGTCGAGATTGGTGAACGATTACAGTCGTGGCTATGAGGCAGTTCCGATCGTGGTCACCAATGAAGTAGACCACGAAACGCCACCGAAGGTTCATTCGTTTTTTTCTTCGTTTATTATTCATTACTGTGTGCGTTTATTTATTTTGGGTTATTTGTTTTGGGGTTATTTTGTTTTATTTTATTAGATTTATTCTAATCACTTTCGTTTTTTTTGTTTGTTTATTTTCATTGTGGAAATTTTCTGAACTTTCCGTTGTAGTTGATTGATTAGAGTGATTGTTTTGATTGATGGAAAATATGAAGAGGAAATGAAATTTGCAATTTTTGTAAGCATGAAATGAGAGAATACAGATGCAATACGACCCGAGACGATATCCGTTCAATGAAGACACTGATGTGTCGACGATATCGAAGGAGTTCTGTTCGGGGTGCTCTTGCACGGGTACGTACTTGATTCTTATATGAACTCATGATTGGTTCCATTCAAGTGAATTTATCTTAAGTGCGATTTTGTTTTATCGGAGAAGAAACATTTGATGATTTGAGTTTCGGTGAAAAGATGTTGAAAAGTTTCAAATGTAAAGAATGAATGGATTCGGAGTGTTTTAGACGATTGTGCAAATGAGGCGAATTGTGAGTGCAGACAAATTACGCGGACGGAAATTTCAAGGCTGGCCAAGACTCTTCAACCGCTAACAGTGCGGGGATATGAGTGAGTTTTTGAAGTGTTCTGGTTTTTTTGAATGATGTCTTCCAGTTTTGAGAGAAACTTTTGTGGGGAAACTGATTGAATAAGAATTGAAATGGAATTTGTGGACATTTTTGTGAAGAATTGATAGATTGTATTGTGAGAGATGCGAATTGATTTGTAGTTATCGGTCCTTGAATCCGTGCAATGAGGACGAAACAATTCTGTCGGGTATTTACGAGTGTAACGATGCGTGTAAATGCGAGAAGAATAAGTGCATGAATCGTGTGGTGCAGTTGGGCATTCGTATTCCATTGGAGGTTTTTTGTTTATTTATTTGTTTGTTTGTTGATTTATCGATGCTTGCGATTTTTTTCGATCAATGTTTACAATATGGTTTGAATTTTTTAGAATAGTGTCTTTTTTTTCATTTTTTTCATCGAAGATGAGTCATTTACTGAGTCATTTCTTTTCTTTTCATTTTTCATCGATGTTTTCTGAAGAACGTATTTGTTGTTGGTTTCTCGTCGATTGATTGCTGAGCAATTGCAGTTGTTCAAAACGCAGAAAATGGGTTGGGGTGTACGGACACTGGTTGATATTCCACCGGGCAAATTTATATGCACGTATGCCGGGGCGATTCTGACTGACAGTCAAGCAGAGGAGTGTGGAAAAGCGGTGAGATTTATCTTTTTAGATTAATTAGATTCGATTTGAAGCTAGTCGTTTACGAATGGTCAGTTTACTGTGACAGGCGAGAATTTTCAACTTTTCAATGAATTAGAGGGAGAGTCGTTTACTCGAATCTTTATTTTAGGATGTTTTTTCTTCAAATTCATACTTTTTTCGTCTGTCGTTGGCAGTTTGGAATTCTCTCTGAAAGTTTTGAGAAATTTTGTGAAAATAGAAAATGTTTGCAGTATGGTGATGAGTATTTTGCGGATGTTGATTTTGTGGACGTAGTGGAGAATGCGAAGCAAGCGGCTGGCGTGGACATCAGCGAAGATTATTACTTTTCGGACGAAAATGAAGAGACCGAGAAAGGTTTGTGTTTAGTTTCTTATTTTCAGTTTTCTGGGGATATGTGATCTCATTTCATTTTCAACTAAGTGGAATTCATTTGGTTAATAGAGAATATAGGAACAACTTTTTCAGAAGAACGTAAAATTGATTTCGTTTCAGAGTCAGTCTCAGATGAGGACTCGCAAGCGAGCGCAGGGAATGGCATCGAGCGTGAAATAGATGACGATAATGATTATTATAGGTATTATTTGTTGTTATTTATTATCNTTATTATTATCAGCTTGTTTCAGCGACTCATACGAATCGGAGAGTGGCGCTGATCTTGGCTCGATGATCAGTACACGTTCCTCGAAAAATCGTCCAAAGGATTTAGCAAATCAAAACAGTGACAGATTGTTGAATTCGAATGAAACGGCATCAACCTCGGTGAATATTATTATTATTATTACTATTATTATTATTGTTATAATTATTATTGTTATTATTATTATTATTATTATTATTATTATTATTATTAGTTATTTGTTAAAGTTGTAACTGTGATGATCGAATTTTCAGAATAATTCCGACGATACCCTTCAAGCAGATCTCGCATTTGCGAGTACTTCGTTTTTGGTATCGAGTCGAGACGAGAGAAATGGACGTGGAAATGCTATTGGCTTAGATGCAAAATGTAATGTGTTGTTTTTTTGGCTGTGTTAATTGTTGTTCTTATTTATTGTTTATTGTTATATTGCACATTTACTTTGACTTGCGGTAGCAGTTTAATTGTGTGCTGTAAATACTGGATGATGAAAGGAAATTGAAATGACGGGTATGTAACGGACACATTCAGATCATCTTCTTATTGTTGAGGTTATTAAAAGAATTGGAAAATTTCAGTGCAATGCAACTCAGTGGTTTCATCGATGCTAAATGGTGAAAGAAGTGCAGAGAGTGGTGGATATGCGGATGAGGATGTATCGGATGAGGATTGCATCGAGTGTGATTCGGATGGGAATCGGGTTGCGAGTGGACGTGTGCAGGTACGGATCGATCCGGCAGCGATTAGTGACGATGACGATGACGACGATAAGCCGAGCGCTCGATTCAGTATGGTCAGTTATGTGGAAGGGCACAAAAGGCCGTCGTTGTACACGATCGATGCGAAACGCAAAGGGAACATCGGCAAATTCTTCAATCACAGCTGTGAACCGAACATGAAAACATATTTGGTGTTTGTGGACACACATGACTTTAGACTGCCATGGATTGCGTTCTTCACCACAAAATACGTGGCTGCTGGAACGGTGAGCGGATTGATTAATTGGGTGTCGGTTTGGTTTGGGTTGGCTTTCTTAATTGATGGATATATCAGAGAGATTGTTTGAATGCTAGATTAGGCTTATTTATTAAGCGTGATTGAACGATAATTGAGTTTGTGGATGAAATTTGGTTGGAGATTCGTTGTTTTTTGTTTTTTGAGAAACAGGAGAACGTTGGATACTTTTTGTTTTTTATTTGTTTGTTTGTTTTTGGAGAGAGATTAGATGGTGGAGTTATGAGTGGAAGTGTGAATGCGGGGAGAGTTTGAGTGATGAATTTGGGTGATTTCAGGAACTTTGCTGGGATTATGGTTATACGGAAGGTGCAGTGGCGGGTAAGAAAATGAGATGTCTGTGTGGATCAAAGAATTGTCGAAAACGATTGTTATGAAAATATGGAAATTGGAATGAAAACGGAAATATGTGGAAAAAGTTTGGTGTTCTTCCCTCTTACTTTTATAAAGAATTGCCATTGGTTCTCGTGAAATTTACCGAACTGTGCACGATACATACATGTGAGTGCATATTCATTTGCGGAAGAAAAATATGAAGAATGGAAAATTTCAACAAATTTTTCTCGTTGGAATTTTCAGAACTGAAACCTGAATAAATGGGAGTGTTTCGTGAATTTAGTTGTTTTCTATGAAATATTTATACATCAGATGTTCTATTTTATTCTGTTATCTATTTATAATTGTATATATTCAATATTGTTGTTGTGATGTTATGACAGTATATCGGCGTTTTTGAATTAGTTGTGCACATTACAAATGAATTATTGAATAATGATCTCGGCTGCTCAAGACACAAAAACGTTATGTATTGCTGTATTGTAGTGGATATTGTGAAGTCGATATGTTTTCGTTTCGTTGATTTGATTTGNTTGAAATGGGTGCATGAGAATATTTTGTATTCAGAAATGTAGTGCTCTAAATAAAGTGCAGATTTGTCTATATATATATATTGTTTATTGATTCGTTGCTGATGTATTTTGATTTGTCAGAGATGAAATAAAGTTCAATTGGTGCAATTAGCGTGCAGTTATCATTACCATTATCACTGATTATCACTTATTGATTGGTCGAGCGGTTCGTTAAATAATAGCCGTTATTTGTGCACACCCTGACAACTCTGCCTGTTGTGATATCGTATTGATGGCGTTGATGAATAATTAAGAACGTTAATGTCTTCTTCCTCTAAAAATTGTTCACAAATTTGAAATTCCCAAAAAAAATGGAACCAAAACGAAATTTTCACGCTAAAAAAGTTCTCATTGACGGTTTTCCTTCTGCAGTTTGTTCAATACAACCAATCCATGCGAATGGGGCTAATATTGACAAGTCGTCAAATCGCCCACTGCAAAGCGAATCGCTCATCATCATCATGCAGCCGAATGAAGGAAATGATAATGATCACTGATAATACTCTGATATATCTGCGCATTATCGCATAGCACTATCACTATTCCGAATGAGCACAGTAGATTCGTATATTTCAAGAACTAAATTTGGATAAGTAAATCGTCGGAACGGTTCATCCATCCGCTTATAGTTTCATTCTGTTCATTCAATCAGCTGCGGTTTCCTTTCAGTTATTAAACAGTACATGAACAGATGTATTGAATTTGCAATCGCTCCTATGCGATCGTCCATCCAACAGAAGAGTGTTGAAACGATGCTTCAAAATTCTTTTTGTTGAATTAAGTGTGTGTGATTCGAAATTCATCGTGCAAATTATCGTTCACTTCACGAGATTGTCCCATTGATTAGATGTCAACTGGATGAATTATAACATTGTTTCGAGCGATTCCTTTTAGGTAATACTCATTGTGAGGCTTGAAATTAACCCGAAAGGAATGTGGCCAGTATATACACCATCACCATGGCAGTTCAACGCAAACGGAGATCATCTCTCGGTTATCGTCACATTCTCGTCAGCTGAATGCGTTCCGACAATCAATCAACGACAATATGATCCTCTAAGACCGGTACGCGATCGCCTTTCTCAACAACTTGCTTTGATTGGTTATAGTTCATAGGTTGTAGTTTGTGGACATTTTAACTTCTGACAGAGGGATATACAGGCATATCTCGGCTTTTGAGATTGAATAATTTTCAGTTGAATTATGTTTGTAGCGATTTTGACTTAATTTTGACTCGACGTGATCAGATAATTAGATTGCTGAATGATCGATTCAGGTGTTTATCGATGGACCGAGCATAGTGCATGCCTATGACGATCAATATCGTCTTTCGGATCACCTCAAATACTACCACTACATTCTTCGACAAATCCAACTCAAGCAAACTGGAATTAAGTATCGAAATCCTGAATATAATTCACTTCAAAAACTGCGTGTTCTGCCGTTGGCTCAAACCCTGTTCGCGTTCATTGCTCGTGGACATAAAACTGCGTTATTTCTTCCGTCTCTCTACGATGAACATGCCACTCTCGAAAGTCTCTCCTTGCAAACAAATCATGATCAGCCTGAAAATCCCCAAATTCAATTTGAGCATTCCAGAAGTGATCAGCATCAACCTCAACACCACCAATTCCGGAATTTTGAACATCGAACTACCTCTGAAGCGGGAACGGGGTTAGCAAGGACTGGCGAATCGAACAGTGACACGAACAATTGTGTAACTGCGATCAGCCCGAGTCCAACACCATCAAACAGTAGCACGTTAGAATGTGCTACCTCACAGAAGGCCAATAATTCGTCAGAATTAACCATGACGGTGCCTTTAAGACATTTGGTTGATGATTGTTCAATGTTTCGCCGATTGGTTTCGATGGGTTTCGTGAAATTTTTCCCAATTTTACCACAATTATTTTATCAGCAGCAACAGCGACAACAACAACAAGAGAGCATGCAACAACGGAGGCGCGGTGTTGACATATTGCGTGAAGTATGGTCTCAGAGTGAGAACTTTCAATTGCAAATCCGTAAGATGGCACGTCAAGCCTATGGTGTACTGGTGACGTGCGATTTGATGCAAGCAATCGATATAGTTCGAGTAAATGCATCGAGAATTGAACGGACGGATCAACTGGCTGCGGGAAATACATTAGAGTCATCGACGTGTCAACAATCCTCATCAGCAGCGAAGTCTAATTTGTTCAGTTCATCATCGAGAAATCAGTGCGTAGGCGATGTTGATGTGGATGATGTTTATGATGCGGATCTCGCATTAGATTCTGATTGTGATGGTGAGATGGTTCAGGAACTTTTCGACGAGATCGATAAGTGGGATCGGAACGATCTGCAGGCTATGTGCGCAGCGAATATTGATGGCGATTTTGATATTGATGATATGGAAGATTGGACGAAATTGTTGTCGTATTATCGCGGTCGAATTGTCGATCTTCTTCGTGCACGCCATCGTATGCGGGCTGCTCAAGTTGCTGCCACCCCTTCGTCGAATATCAACCATCAAAATAGCGTTGATTTCGACGATTCGGATCGTCGAAACTCTCGTAGTTTCACTATTGAAGGGGGTAGCGCTCAGGGTCCAAATGCTTCTTCTTCTCGAGAGCACCAGTCGCAGCTACAACCTCAGCAAGAAGAAACATACGAAAACAACAGCAGATCCCATCAGGATAAGCATTTTCTGCCCATAATCCAACCGTACTTCTATCAAGTGCTGTCAAGACGTCAACTCTCCATACCGTTCGATTCACCGTGTTTTTTGGGAACGGACCTGACCTGTGCCCAACTACTCGTCTTCAAAACATGTATAGATGGCGATGATGCCATTTCGACGTTGGCCAAAAATAGCCAATTGACTCTGTTGGAACAATGCGAGCAATTGAGACAGTTGGAAAAAATTTTGGATGGTAAATACCCACAAGGGAAAAAGCAGAGACAGATTGTGGATATGTTATGGGATTGGTATGAGAGCAATATTATAAGTGCCGGTCAGGACGAGGATAGGGAATCTGTATCAGATATGATCTTGTTTGATGATGATTTTGTGGATTATGAACGAATGAGTCGAGATCCTGGAAGAGGCAGTGAACTTCCTGAAGAGGATCTGATATTGTTCGATGACGAATTCATCGAGGCAAATCGTCTAACTGAGCTCTGAATAAGGAATAAATTTGTGAAAATCGAAAAAATGCAGACTTTCTCGGATAATTTTCCTCNATTGCTGAGAGCATCCATCAAGCTCATCTGGCAGAAACTGTGTTCGTATTCATTATTCAATTGTATACTCGTTATTATTATTATTATTGTAAATATATTTTGATCACTTCATACTAACTTCTTGAATCATTCCACTTAACCGATATATTTTTACTTCCCAGAAGCATTTATTAATTGAATCGTTTCATCACTTTTGTAGATGTATCGCCCGTCAGCTAAGCTTGTATCATATATTACTTCATATGCCTTTATTTCCTGAATTGCCTGGATTGGCCAGGCTATCGTACGTTTGTAGTGTTGCTGGCCACAGTGCCTTAAATAGCCTTGAAAATTTCTGCTGCCATCTACATATATGTTCATTGTTTGCTTGAAAACGTTTCAATTCGTTTGTTTTTTGTTCAGATAACTTCTTGAAACCAAGTTTATTGTTAGTCAGTCAATTGATCAGTATTTGATTGTATCACATTAACTCTTAAATCTTAATTTTTCACCACTGATGTCTGAACAGGATTTGTGTTCGTTTGTATCGCACGTCACCAATTAATTAGATAATGTCCAACAAGCCATACTTCGTAATTGATTCATCATAGTCATTGTAAGGACCTCAATCGAGCTTTGAGCTTTGTAATAGATATTACTGCAATGTGGACGCTTTGTGTTTTAGAAACAATTTCAGTTTGTTTTATTTTCATGCGTTCATTTTTCACATTTGGGTTTTTTTGCCAGCCAGTACTCACCTTATTATGAATGAAAATCTTTTCAATACTACCACAATTACAATATTATGGATTTTTACAGATCCTGTATCCAGTTTTGACTGGCAGCCCGTTTGCAAATCATCTTCATCCATCTTATTGTTGATCTTCTGTAATCCTCTTGTAACTACTGACTTGACCAAGTGCCATTCTCTTTATCCAATTTTTATGTTTAAAACTAACTCATTATTATCAACAGTAACTGATATCATTATCAAGTCATTGCATGTGTGGACATGTCTATATATGCATTGATTGCAAAAACTTTATTATCAAGAATATAAATTTTCTTCTTGAACAATGAGTGGGCCATTTCGATGAATCAAAAAGCAGCTCGTATCATTCATTTCAGAAAACGATTAGTTTTTCAGGATATTTCAGTGTTCTGAATACGAGATCATTAACAGAGCATTTCAATAACAACAATACTGAACATTGTTATCGTATCATTATGTTATGACATAACGGCATCAGTTATCATCATCAGTTACCAATCGTCATTTTCTGAGTCTTCGTCTTGTTTGCCTCGAATGATTTTCTTTGGTACTCCTTTACTTATCCGTTTAGTTCGTGTATCGGCTGATCGTGCATTCGGTAGACCTGATGGTCCATTGTAGTTGATTACACCAGACCTAAATTTGATAGTAACTATGATAGTGGCAGAAATTTCCTGGGTAGCTACTGGAAGCTATTGAGGCAATATTATTATTATTACTAACAACAATAAGAATAAAGCACCCACTGAGCTAATCGCCACTCCAGCGTTTCAGTTTTAAACTCATCCGTTGCACCCAACTCGTCAAATCCACGAATATAATCGACCGTTTTCGCATCAATAACGATCGCTATTGTTGGCAGAACNCTTATATTCAAACGTTTCGTTAGGAATGGAAACTGCAAACCTCAGCAAAATTATCAATTATCAATTAAGATCTGCAAATGATTAATGCGTAATGATAAGGAGCTCTCTTGAAAATACAACGATTGAAAGATTTTTTTTTTCGGCTTTTCAGTTCATTTTTAGAGATATCTCCTCAACATCAAAGAACAGATTCATTCTTCCAGATTAGCTGATGAACTCGTTCAGCCTCGTTGGAAGTTTAGTTTAATAGTATTTTTAGTTTCACAATCAAGGAGATGTAAATGACCTTCTTGTTATTTCTTGGCGTGAATGTCGCTCGGAAAAAAACAGAAAGAACGAATTTCTCAGCATCGAACCTTTTCAACATTTACACACACGAAACGAGCTTCCAAATGCTTCGGTGCAAGTTTGCTGAGATGCATATCGACTATTTTACAACGTTCTGTTGAGGTTCGATAGAAGTGTGCAATTAATTTATTAGATTTTTTTGTTGCATCAAAGAAGGCACGTTCATCTGGTAACTCTTCATATTCTCCATGCCCATTTCGTAGCCACTCCTTTGAAAAATTCAGCTTCGTTTAAGGAAGATTCATAAAAATCAATGTCTACATCGGGCAGAATTGAATATCATCAATGTAAATTCCAGCTAACTTCAAAAAAATTGTTGCAAATTTCAAAGAGACTAGAAAGAATATTAGGAATTCCATGTATCTCTTTTGTGAACAATTCAGGTGTATCGTTTAATTTCGGGCGATTTCATGATTAGCCTCGATTGTGAGGAAAAATGCCCCTGGCTGGGTATGTTATGGCACCTGTTTTTCGAGTTGCCTCTTTTTCAGTTGTTCCACACGTTTCCGACGTAACGCCTCGAGGTCACCCTCTCCTAAGTGTTCCATTTCTTCCATTTCTTGGTCCACCGCCTTCTCCACCACGGTGACGGCTTTCAGTAGCTGGTCACCCAAAGCCTGTTGTCCAGCAGCCATTTTCTTTTGATGATTGATCGCTTACGATTTGTATTTTTCAACTTAAACAGCAAAATGAAAACAATTTGAAGTTGATTCTGTGGTGGATTACCAGTTACGATTGATAATTCTCAGGGGATCATAGTGATGGAATCACGAGTATATCTCAGGTTGAACAGAGAGAATATGTAATGATTTGTAAGTTACTGAGAAGATTTTTTGAAGAATTTGTCCACATTAATAATACTTCTGATAATAATAAGGGAAATAACATAAATTCGATCGGATCGAGAAGTTCTTCGACCCAAGAAATCCAAAAAAAATCTGCAAGAGATTCTGCAGTCTTGATCCCAGAATTAAATACTCCTTCATGCACATATAAGAGGAGCATAACTATTGGATTGTGCAACAATGCACAATATCTGCTAAAAAATCGGAAGCAAATCGTCCATGAGAGCACGCACCAATATCTATCGACTGTGTCCACGTACTTGGCGAAATGACCGCAACTTGTCGAAGAGCAAGCAATTCCTTTCAAATTTACATTTTGCTCATCTTTAAGCTTATTTTGCTTACTTTACATGATCTTGTTCGTAGAAGGTTTGTTGCTTACAAAATAGGATTATCCAGATTTACAGTGGTCTTGTTCGTAGAAGGTTTATTGCTTATAAAGTAGGATTATCCAGATTTACAGTTCAAACGCTGAACTATTAATATTTCATTTAAAATTATGTACATTTCACAAATCTTCGCTAGCGATTTGTTCATCACAAATTTTGTTGCGTTTTCGTCTGTTCAGCTGGAAATTTTCAGGAAATACTAAAGCGTTTAACACCTTCACAACCTTCCAAACAACATGTCAGGCATCGAGCTAACGTCGACAACGGATCTCACGAAATTTACGGTGTGTTTGTCATTATATTTCTTTCGAGATCTTTAGCGCTAGCACAATGACGCATTAGTTATGAATTATATGCTGTGAAGTTTCAATCATTCATTCGTTTGTATTCATGACGACAGCAGAGTTTAGTGAATAGCAGTAGTATTAATAACGATAATAATCAAAAATTTAAGGTGGTTCAACTGCGAGAACTTTTGAAGTCTCGTGCTCTGCCATCAAGCGGTACAAAAGTGGAGTTGATTGAACGTTTGAAGGAAAATCTTGCGGCCGAAGAAAAGATTCTGGAAGCTGATGATAGTTTAACGAAGGATGACAGTATTGGTTAGTTGTTTTTGTTATTGTCATCATAATTATCATTCGCAGCAGGAATGTAGAATACAGTGTTATGTAATGTTCAAATTTCTTATTGCTTCATGTCGAGAATATTAACTTATTTGTCACTGTATTGCCTCAGTTTAAATTGAATTCATCTCGTGCAAGTTAGAAACATTTGAGTTCAGAAAGAGCACCGATCAGCGCAGATGCAATAGTAACCGAAGACGATGTGCTCGGTCCTGATCCAGCCTCGCAGAAGAAGGCTGATGATGAGGGTGGTGAAAGTGATACGACAACAACAACCGTTAGTTATTATCATAATTACGTTTTCGAATAGTTTATTATTTATTGTTGTTTATTACAATTATCCTTTCAGAAGACTAGTGATAAAGTTGATGGAAAAGACGAAGTGTCTGTTAAACAAGGGCAACAGGCGAAGAAGGCAGATGATGCAGCAACAGCCATGGAGACATTGGACGCGAAAACGAAACGTGCTCTTCGTTTTGGTTTGCCTTTGTCGGGTGATGATCTGAAACGTAAACGTGCCGAAAGGTTGGTGAATTCTGCGGAAATTGCTTGAGAAAATTTACGGATTTGTTGAAATTTCGTGAGTTGAAAACTTTGTGTTAGGATTTTACGAATTTGAAGAGGAAATGGTTTCAGATTCGGATTGAAAGTAGAAACAGAGCCAGACGATGAGAAGAAACGAAGACGACTCGAAAGGTGCGTTAGTGTTGTTGTTATTGTTTTTGATAGGTTCGCGAGATTGATTATAGTAATAATAATTATTATTGTTATTGTTATGATTACAGTAAATAATAAGAATGGTTGTAATTGAAGGTTTGGCCTATTGAATGGTACAGCAAAAGGGGATGGTGGTAGTGCCGTGAACCAAGATGATATTCTGAAGAAAAGAGCTGAAAGGTTGGTGGCGATTTGATGTGGATGAGATCTGATGTTTTTCATTTTTCTTTTATAATATACGAGAATTTTTGTGAGAATCGTTCAGATTTGTGTAGGGATCATATTTTCATTATTGAGTTACGTTATAGATTGTAATTGTTTGAATTGTTATGAGAAGATGCCATCTCAATGGGCAATTTGTTTTGCAGATTTGGATTGCCAGTGAAGGACAAGGAGAGTGCGAAAAATGGCTCCAGTGCGGCCAATGTGAGCCTCTCAACAGATGTCGTGGAAAAAGCATCGTTGGAAGCGTTGGAACGTCGTGCGAAGCGATTCGGTGTGTGTTCGGAACAAGCTGAGGTTTTTTTAAACCTATTTCAGTTTTTTGCATGGTGCATTTGTTTTTTTTTTGGAGGAATTCGGTCATTTAAAATCAGATCTTAACTGGTTTCTTGAGTGATCGAAGAGAGTTTATGTGCAGAAT